AAAATAAAATAATGAGCCAAATCTGACTTTTAGCATACCCCATCTTTTCATGATTACTCTCATTCCAAACTGACACATAATTTTGGTGTTATCTCTTCCCAAGCACTCCAGACCTTCATGCAGCCTTGGCCTTGGAGAGTTGGTCCCACCTACTGCCATTTCACCCTCCAAAACCCAAGAGGCAGAAATAAACTCCACACATTGGGCAGAAGAGAGGCAAAAAAGGGATTAGTTTCCTTTGGGAGAGGCGGTTTACCAGTAGCTCTTGGCTACTGATGGGTTCTCTCCTGACTCAGTGCAGACATCCTTAGGATGGCAGCCTCCTTCTCTCCTCTCACTGAGACTAATTACTCTGTCCTGCTGCCTGACCCCAGGCTCTGTCACCCAAGGTGGCTTACCTCTTAGTCCCTCCCCACAGTAGCCCTAGGACTCCAATCTGTGTTTGATCACTCAGGATCATTAGATTTCAAAGCTGTGGAATCCCATAATTTTTATCAGCATATGCTTTCCTCCAGGGCCTTTTCACATCTGAAGAGGCAGCCAGCAACTCCCTCCCACATCACAGAAGCAGAGCAGGCCTGCTGATAGGGGTTACATTGCCCCCAACAAATCCTGTTGTCTGACAACTAGTACTGAGATAGGGTAGGTGTTGGTTTGAACTGGAGCGGGAAACAAGTTCTGAAATTCTAATAAACTGAAATGGAGACTGTAGGTCAGTGATGGCGAACCTATGACACACGTGTCAGAGGTGACACGTGAACTCATTTTTTTTGGTTGATTTTTCTTTGTTAAATGGCATTTAAATATATAAAATAAATATCAAAAATATACATCTGTGTTTTACTATGGTTGCAAATATCAAAAAATTTCTATATGTGACACAGCACCAGAGTTGAGTTAGGGTTTTTCAAAATGCTGACACGCCAAGCTCAAAAGGTTCGCCATCATTGCTCTAGGTTTTAGATTCCTGCCTTCCAGCTCTCTCTAGTGGTCATCGAAGGAAGCGTTGCATGCCTGGTTTTTAAAGTCATTTCAGCAATATTTTCTAGGGTCCTGCTTTGTGAGTTCACTCTGCTAGAACCCATGAATTTCAGGAATGATAGGAACAGAGGTGGAGAAAACAAAGAGAACAAATACAAGGAGGAATTTCCACTATATTATTACTAAGACACTTTTTCCTCTTCTGGACTCCAGCGGCCCTGAGCATATGGACCTCAGCCCATTTGGGCCACCACGCACCTTCTCCAACCAAGACCACAGCATTTCTCTCTTCATCACCCCACAACTGGTCTCCGGGGGGCCAGAACCACCTGCAAAAACTAAGTGCTCCTCAACGTGGGTTTCTTGCTGAGCTGGAACAGGATAAAATTTGCCAATCGCTCACATCTACTAAGTGGGAGATTGGGGGGCAGGGAAGGGCAGAGCTGAGCCCAGCTGTGCTTCTGCCCTGGCCAGAGAGGTAGACTGTCAACACCCCCGTGCTCTCCAGGTCATACCACAGACTGTGGTCCCACCCCAGATATGGGGGCTAGAGAGGCGCGAGGTGACCACAAGTCTTCCCATTGCACACCCACCCTGCACTGCCCTTGCAATGACTGGGGCTCGGAATCCAGTGATGTGCTAAGGGATACCATTTTCCACCAGGTCCCATACACACTCCACACTCAGGAAATGCCTGGGAATGGAGATGTAGCTGGGAGTGGGGCGGGGAACAGGGCCTTGGCTACTGCCCCAATCCTTCCACTGTCCTTGGGTCACCTTGGGCAGGGAGGGTGTCAGTTCCGGCCCCTCCATGGCCCTCCATCCATTTCCCTGTCTGGGAAAGGTAAAAATCCGGAAACCACCAGGGAGATGCATCTGCCCCTGCTACTCAGACTGGAATCAGGCCCGCCCAGGATGGCCAGCTTTTCCGCTCAGGGGAAGGGGGTGAGAAGGAAAGTGGAAGGGACCAGCCCCAGGTGCACACAACTGTCTACAGAGTGAGATGGACAAACAACAGCTTCCCTGTGTCGAGGGCTCAGCTGCTCCTCTATCCCCCGCCCCCACTGCCCTGTGCATGCCACTACCACCAGGGACTGCAGCATTGCCACCCCCACCCCATGTTCCATATGGAGCCCTCAAGGGGGTCGGGCTGGACTCCCTACCAAATTTGGCTGCAAGGCCTCAAGGCAGCAGCTAGTGGAGGTCCTGAGTGATTTCAAGCAGGAAGCCAGCTGGGTGAGGAGTCTGAGGGCAGGAACCACCTCCAGGAAATGCTTGGGTCAGAGCAGCCATCGTTCTCTGCTCCCCCTCTCCAATCTCCAACCCTAGGCTGGGCCTGCTGGACAGCCTCCTCCATGCAGCTCAGTACAGTGGAACTGCTTCTGCCCAAGCATTGGTCCACCTATCAACCTCTCCCCACCCCAGTCTGCATAAAAGCTGTCCCAGCACTCCAGAGAGCAATCACACCAGTGGGAACTCCCAGCTCAGGCCCACTCCCCCACCATGCAGTCCCCAGATACCACCCAGGGAGAAGCTTAGCCCCACCAGCTGCCCTATGCTCACAAAAGTGAACCAGCGGGATTTCCTACCAGGAATGGTAGGAAGGACCAGATTGTCTCTCAATTTGCTCCCTACCTAACACTCCTCCAGTCTACTCCACCAGCCTGCTTTCTTAAGCCAGTTGCCTAAGTGAGGAGAAGGAGGAAGGGGGCCAGGGTAGCATTTCTACTCCCTTCCCACATACCTACATACACCTCCCTCTCCCAAGGTAGAGTGTTATGGGGGACACAGCCTTGCCAATCCTTATGCCTTAAAGCCTTACAAAGGCCTGTTTCCTTCTGTCAGTTTGAGATTTTCCAGCTACTTGCCTCTTCATTAGCTTCTCACCACTCCCATACATGTGCACAGACACATTCTCTTCATTCTTCAGCTCCATGAACACAACCCCCAGTGTATCTGGACACAGAGGCCTCCTTCAATAATAACAAGGTACTCTTCCTTTGGGTGGGTAATTTGCAGCTCACAGGTGCTCTCATACACCTCATCCTCTCCCCAACCCATGCAGGTGCTTCTCTTATGCCTGTTTTACAGGTTGGGAAAGTGAGGCCCAGGGCAGTGGGGAGGAGTGGAGACTGAATGTCTGGTTTCAAACCTCTTTTCCAAGGCTCCTTCCAGTCCACCTCACAGAAAGTAGGAAAGTAAGTGAATTTCTCTTTCCCCCAGACTTCTCAGGAAGTCTGCTTGCTGCTCCTAGACTAGCACCTGCTGGCCCCCGGGCCCCTCTGCCCCCTACTTTGGTACTGACTAGCACCAGAGTCCCAAGATGGAGGCATGGAAGGCAGCCGAAGCTGAACCAGAGTCCTTGTTTACCGCCTACCTACCCACCTCAGCCTCTTCTATGGAGCAGGGAGGGAGGAATATGGAAGAAGAATCAGGAGTCTCTGATCTGTCTTTCCCTGGGAGCATAGGGCATTATCTTCTGGGTTCCTCTCTGCCTCAAAATAGAGGTAAAACTCCAAAATGAGCTATTCTGTGCCTTACTCCCTTGGTACTTCTCTCATTACTCAATAATATTATCATCAGTAAAGGCCAATTTCCAAGGCCTTGCTTGATGCCCAGAGACCATCAAAGTGCCCTTTGTCTAGGCTGGTTATTGGGTGTGTGAGGAACAATTCTTGGGAGGCCCTCCTTTCATGAAAAAAGATTGATGTGTCTACACAACTAGCTTAGAGGCTCCCTCTCTTCTATTTGACTGTGCTTTCCCAAGCTACAGAGAGATGGGGAAGAGTAGCAAATACATGCAATTAAGTGTAGAGGAACTCCCAAGGTGGCACTTGGAGAAAGAAAAATTGGTGAACATGTCTAAATCCCTTTCCACACATGTCAGTGGGGTGGACTTGTGCTCTATATGCCTCTCAGCAGCTGTGACGATTGCCATCCTCCTCTCCCCTGTCTCTAGATGAGATTCCGTCTATCTGCAGGGGAGCTTGGTTTCATTTAGCAGTCCCCACCCCTTAGTACTACATTGTTTGGTGGGCTCTAAATTTTCAGATCCCAGTAAGTACTAGCCTAAACTTTTCCTTTAGGAGAATAGCTTCAAGAGTCCAAATCAGGTCTTCCAAGGTTCGAACTCACCTGTCAACACAATGGCTGGGTCTGGAATGCAAGGAGAGTGAAGTTTCATGGAGATTCAAGTTCTAGGCAAAGCTAGTTCCCGTTCAGTAACTCTGTAAATAGCAGTAACTAATGAA